AGCAAATAAAGTGTGTCTTTTTCATGTTTGGTTTAGAGGAATAATTCTCTATGATGGAATAGGGGGGCAAAAAAAATATAGTTTGATATGTTTTTTGCAGCATTACAAGCTCTTTAATTATCAACAAAAAATTAGGTTTGATAGAATAGGTTAGTCTTTTATAACATGAGGAATCATTGTTTAAATCTCCATTAGAAGAAGTACTCATATTTAATGGCCCACCATACTTAGATGAACACGATATGACCTCTAATTGGATAATATTTGTATTCAATAAAAAAAGAATTAAAGGATATTTTTACCTATTAACTATTTATTTAAGTACATCTAATGTTAGTGCATTTTGAAAATGGCATGTTGGGTGCTCTGATATTAAAAAAGTTAACTTTAACAATCACTTAATTTAAAAAATTTTAAAAAGGGATATAAAAATTATAAAAAAGGACCACAAAAGAAACTTAATCATTATTTATTTTTTTATAGGATACTTATTTATAATTTTATGAGTCCTTTTTTGTAATTTTGAAATTCTTTTTTAGAATTTTTGAGTCAACTAATAATTAAAGTTAATTTTTTTAATGATAAGGTACTCAATGTACCATTTTCAAAAGTTAAAAAATAAGATTATATTACATAAAAATTAAAATGCTAGACATTCTTGCTCAAATGGTTGAGAGGTGAAAATAGGCTTTAACCCATAAAAAAAAGCAAATAGTATAAAAAAAATTAGAGATCAAAATTAGCTCATGAACCTTACTTTATGGCATTCCCTAAAAAAAAAAAAAAATTCTGAATCGGATAAGCCAATTCGACCGATGAAACCAAAAACTGGTTTTAGTTTAATATAAAATCCGGTTGGGACGTATGTGTATGAGAAAATGGAGGAGAAAACTGACGGAGGACCTGTGGAAAGAGAAGAAAAGGAGAAGAAAGAAGGAACGAAGAAGAAGAAGAAGATGAAAATGTGAGGAAGAAAAAGACGTGCCACGAAGAAACTGATTTGAAAGACATGAATGAGGACGTGAATAAGCAAGAGCTGAACAACACGATGCATGAAATGATGAAAGCCTCTTTCAAATTTCATTCTCTCTCATTCAGTCACAAATTTCTGATTTTATCTTCCACCCACTATCACACACACACACACACACACACACAGAGGCATGATTGCCAATAATGGGAGATTTTTAAATCCTAAATTCTTTATTTCTCTCCTTTCTTAATTTTTAATTTTGTATTTTTAACTCTTTGTTTTAATATTTTTCGTTTGAATTTTTTTTGTCTAAATGATGAAAATCTAAAACATATTAATTTAATGAAAAATGTATGGTTGGATTTTATCTAACTTAATTCTATCATTGTATTATAGGTTAAAATATATATTTAATTCTTTCACTCTATAAAAAGTTTTATTTTAATTCTTAATTTTATAAAATATCTATTTAGTCTTTTAATCTTAACATCGTTAGTTTTGTAGATAAGAAATTTTTAAATTAAACTTTTAAATATTAATAAAATATTTAAAATATATTGACATATTAAATTTAATTTTTTAAAATAACAATGATTAATTTGAAAAGTAATTATTTAAAATTAATGGTATTAAGAGTTAGAGAACTGAAAAGATAATTTATAAAATTTAAAAACCAAACCTGCATGTGTTATAAAGTTTGAGAACTAAAAATATAATTTAGTATATGGTTATATATTGACAAAGGGGCCTTTTGGTTTCTAAAAAAAATTTGAATCAAATGAATTAAATTATGTTTTTTTTACAATAAGTATGATAAAACTTAATATTTTATATTACAAATATGAAAATTATCATACTTTATACAAACTTATGAATTATGAATCTTAATCCTGTAAATTAAATTATCCTTTCCTTTCATGTAAATACGATTACACTTTTCTTTCCTTCCTTTCTTAAAAAAAAAAAAATTAATTGATGTTTTCTTTCGCAGATTTGTTGCCTTGGTTCAGTGTGGTAGACTTGTAGTACGTGTGGGAATTAATAATACTGAATTCTTTTGTCAAAAAAAGAAGCAGAAAGAAAGAAATAAATAGAGGGAGAACAATATGAACTTTTTCTATTAAATATATATATATATATAATTATATATATTCTTTGAGGAATTCAGAAAGAGCTGTCTCTTAGTCTTTTTTTTAAATATATATTTAAAAGTAGTTTGATAAATAAATATGTGTTAAAAAGATAAATAAGTACCCCCATTGGTTTATTTATTTCAAATATTTTTGTTAAATAGAATATAAATTACATTGAAAAACTAGTAGTACTCCTATTTAATAATTTTTCGTGGGTTCAAAAACACGTCACGGCGCACTCATCAGGAGATGCGGCGACTGGAGTCTCTTTAACAAACAAAATTAAATATTTAATTTCATTAAAAATAATCCCTGACCAATAATGCAGTTTCTACTTTCTTTTAATAATTTTAAGTGAGTTAAATTCTCATTGGAGTCAGGACATATTATCAGGTTTAAAAAATATTTACAGAAAAAATTACAAATTACTTACCGGCATGGTCCTAACATAGTAATATTGATAGTAAGATTTGATATCAAGACCTTATAAATTATTATAGATCAAAACTTTATCAATTAGATTAATTTTTGTTAGTCAATGTAGTTTCTTCCCTACCTCCACAAAAATCTGTTATAAAATAATATATATTATTAACTGATTTATATCTCCAATAATTCTTAGTTAATTATCTTTAAATTAATAATATCTTTTCATAATTGCTCTCATTTAGTGGAGTGTTTTATCTAAAAATAAATTGTTATTGGTTTATTTATTGAATATTTGTTTAAAAATTATTAATTTTACATTGAAAAATTAAAGATTCCTTCTAATTTTTAACATTAAATTTCAGAAAAAATGGTCTGTATTGTTTATCAAAGGAAGTAACTGATTTAGTTTCCCCTAGAGGGTTAATTTTTTGCGTTGATCTGAAAGGGTCATCATTTGCCCTCAATACTTCAAAGGTTATAGTCTGCATTGTTCACAGAAGATATAAGAAAAATAAATAAAACTATTAGCTAGTTTAAAACAAAATTAAAAAATAAATTCAGAGATGAAAGTAAAATTGAGGTAAAACCAAATGATTAAAATAAAATTTTAGAAAGTATTAAAAGGTGTAAATTAAAATTAAATTGAGACTTAATAAAGAAAAATAAAATTTTAATTAAATGAAATGATCAAAAATATATTTCTGCTTAAATTTCAAAACCACATTCCCTTCATGTTTTTTACGTATCTAATAATTTTAAAATTAAGACTTGAGAAAAAAAATTATGAGACATAATCTTCTTGAAATACCAGAATTGTTTTGCCACTTAAACGCCAAAATTAATTGATTCATTTTCTATATTTGTACTTACCTCATTTTCAAATGCGCACGTACATCCTCCCTCTAGTCCTATTTATTTTATAAATAGAGAATAATTTTTAATTTTATTTATAAATTATGTCATTACATTTTTATTATAAATTTTTCTTTTACCCTTCATTAAATGTTGGAGAGAGAAAATATATTATTGAAGTGTGTATATTTAATAGAAATAAATTTAAAAACTTATTAAATTTTAAGATAAAGTTAATAAATTTTAAATTTTTTTTAATATTGATAAAATATATTGAAAGTAATTCATAAATAAAATTTAAAAAATACATGTATTTTTATTTTATTTTATTTATTTACGTATTTTACATGTGTGTGTAAAACACGCACTTCTTCCTTGCTCTTTTCGGCTAGGTGGGGCATTACATTAAAAAAGAGTAATTTTGCTTTGGAAAAATGCAGTGAAAGCTACCCAAACTCAATCTCTGTCTTGATGTTGAAAGTATACTCAATAACGTTCCTCTGCAAGTTTTCTTTATATACACTCACAGTAATCAACATTAACTTTTTTTTTTTCATGCGAAAACAATATACCCACCCCATTTAAAAATATAAGATTTTGTTTTCTGAAACTAAATATTTAAAAATATAAGGTATTTTTAATTTTTTTAACATGTAATTAATATTTTTTTTAAAAAATACTTTAATGAATAAACCATTTAACTCTTTACCTTCTAGCTAGTGAGATATCCTATTAAATAAGAGCATGCATGAAAAGTTGATGTTAGTTTGAAGATAATTAACTTAAACAATTTATTAAAACGTACAATTCAATTAAAAATATTTTATATTTTTAAATGAGAGTATTAATTTTTAAAATCATTGATGAGATTCATAGACAAAATAAATATTCTCTCTATTTTTAAATATAAGAGAATTTCAATCACTTTACATGGTTTAAGGAGATTAGTTAATTTTAATAATCATGTTTGAAATTAAATATTTGGACAAAAATGTCCTGGTAATTAATATTTACCTTTTCCCTCTATTTTAACAAATCAATCCATCTATAATGGACAATTTGAGAAAAATATAATTAATATTTTTTGAAATTTGTAGTTTTAGTTATAAACATGAATCCTAATAGTAAGCTGAGTTACGTTAATGATTCAAATGTCTTGTGTGCAATTTGAATCTTCAAATTTGTAATTATTTAAATTAATATTTATAACATATTTGAAAAAAAATTTACCGACACTGTTTTAAATTTATCATTTTAAGACTTAACTATGATTTTTATGACATCTATTACCCCACAATTTGATTACTACAAACCGAACGCCACAATCTCATGTGTGACATATAGATCAATAAAGATTTTTCCCATTCTTTTTTCTATAATCTATTAGAAAAGTCATAATTATTATTAGCATGAGATCTTTCTTTAAAGATACAAAATTAGATTAATCAAACCCAAGCTTGAAGGGATTGCTTAGTTTGTAACGCCATGTAAGCCCCACGTCAATTCATTTCTCCATACAAGAAACAAAAAGAAAGCGACTTTGCCAACTTGTGTTCTTCAAATGGGCGCATGTATAAATACGACATAACACTAATGCAGTTTCAGGCCTCTCACTGATCACCCGCCACTCTTATGCTCTCTAGTGGCCTCCATTTCGTTTCAATCCCAAAGAAAAAGAAGAATCAGAGAGCTCAGAAAACGCATTGTGCAGAAACAGAATCGTATCCCTTTTGTCTCTGAGTGTTCGAAGGAGCAAGAAAGGCCGTTCCTTTGAGAAGCCCAGAAGGCTATGAGTCCAAGAGATTTAATGGGGTTTCTACCCAGTGGAAAATTTGTTGTGTTATTGTTTTTTTGTTCCTGGTTTTTTGCTGTCTCGGCTTCTGTGACTTACGATCACAAAGCTCTTATTATTGATGGTAACAGAAGGATTCTGATCTCTGGGTCCATTCACTACCCAAGAAGCACACCTGAGGTGACTTGACTTCTTAGTCCTAACTTTTTGCCTAGTTTCTAATTTTCTCACACTTCCTCATCGTTTCTGGGTGAATGCAGATGTGGCCTGACCTGATACAGAAGGCCAAAGACGGAGGCTTAGATGTTATACAGACCTATGTGTTTTGGAATGGCCACGAGCCGTCTCCTGGAAAAGTAATGGCACTATACAAATGCTTCCTTGATTTTTTTGTTTTTTTAAAAGCTGAAAAGGAAGCTCACGATGTATATATATTTTTTCATGGAATTGTGAATTTCAGTATTTTTTCGAGGATAGGTTCGACTTAGTAAAGTTCATCAAGCTGGTTCAGCAAGCTGGCCTTTACGTTCATCTCCGCATTGGTCCCTACGTGTGTGCGGAATGGAACTTTGGGTAATGATTGTGATAATTCATTCATATCTTTGCTTCGTGATTTTGAAGTTACTAGACAAGCAAAATCCTTGGAAAATACTTGAAAAGATCACATGCTCTGTTCTTAAATTCAGGGGATTTCCTGTTTGGCTCAAGTTTGTGCCGGGTATTAGCTTCAGAACTGATAATGAGCCTTTCAAGGTTAGATTGTTTTTCAACTTGGGTCATCATGATCTCATTCTATATTCATTTTTTATCTGAATTAATCTCATTTTATGCTGTTTAATCTTAAAACAAATGATTCATCTTCGTAATTTTGATGTCATGAAGGCCGCAATGCAAAAGTTTACTGGGAAGATTGTTAGCATGATGAAGGAAGAGAAGTTGTTTCAAGCTCAGGGAGGTCCAATAATCCTGTCTCAGGTGCAATAATAAGATTCAAATATATGTACATTAAAAATAATTCATTATTGATTTAGCTTGACTCGGAATTCAAATTTGAATTCTTTGGATCATAGTACAGCTGCACACTACGTACCTTTAACTCAAAGCTTAGTGTAGAAAAGTTATTGACTTGTTGAAGATGCAAACTTTTTTCCAAATGAATTTGACAGATAGAAAACGAGTTTGGACCTATTGAGGGGAAACTTGGGTCTGCTGGAAAAGCTTACTCGCAATGGGCGGCTAAAATGGCTGTAGGTCTTGACACTGAGGCTCCTTGGGTTATGTGTAAGCAACCAGATGCTCCTGATCCTGTGGTAAGTGCGAAGTTCAAGCTATCTTGTTTCTTTCTTGAAATGAAATGTTTTTCTTCAGGAAAATGACATTTAGAGACCACTTTAGGAAATTAATTGCATATAGGGATCACCAATTCATGAAATTTCGGAGAAGGGTCAATTTTTTTAAGTAAATGTACCAAAATACCCTTACTAGGTTGGCAACATGTTTTGGTTGCAAATTTTAGAAGCTTAGTTGTGAATATTGGAAGTTCAGATGTAAATCATGGAGGCTTAGTAATTTGTAATTCTTGGAAGATTAGTTGTATATCTTGGAAGCTGGGTTGCAAATATTGAAAGATGAGTGGCAAATCAGTCATAAAAACTGGGAGATTAATTGGTTGACTTCCATAATTTATACTGATTTGCAGCTGATATTTTAAAATTTGTGACCGATCTTCCGGGATTTGCAATTGAGCTTCTAGGATTTAAAGCTTCCACCATACAATTGAGTCTGTGATTTGCAACTAAGTTTTCAGGATTTACAACTGGAATATGTTAATGAAGTTGTAAGGGCATTTTTGTCCATTTACTCTGTTTTTAAAAAACCTTAGTCCTTCTATGTAATTTCAACAGTTGATGATCCTTAAATGCAATTAATTTACTACAGCGGTTTCTTCATGTCATTTCCCTCCTTTTCTTTTCTCTCGTGGCTGTCTTTTTCCACAAAACGATATTTTGTTGCATTAAATGTATATGATCCATGTATCCTGGTGGGGTTTTCGCATTAAAAGTCAGTTGCTTAATTAGGTGGGTTAGATACTTTACTATTTGATATTTTACTGTTCACCCTCTGTTCTTTTTTTTTTTTGCTTTTATTTACTTTTAAAGGGTACATATAAGCTAATAGCTAAGCAGTTTTAGCTTGCCTACTTTAGTCTGGTTCTTGGTTGTTGTGTAATTGCAGCCATGGGAGCCTATATTTGCAATTCAAGTTTTTCAGTCGGGTCCTGATTTGAGACTAGACTAGATTCAGGCTCTTTGACGTAGTCATAAACATGGCATTTAAGGATTCTTTATTTAAACGGAAAATTCTTCTAGAGGATAACAATTATACTAAATGGCCTTATAAATAAAAATTCTTCTGAAGGATAAGAGTCTTTCAAAAGCATTTTAATTTTCTTTATAGAGTAATTTTGTTCCTTACGGGTCCTTAAGTTGAAGTTTTCAAAATCCAAAGGTCCAGTTATGCTGTGCTGAGCTGAAAATTATGCACTTGTACTTTCTTTTGTTAGAGACCCAAGAAGTGAGCTCTTAAAAGTCGTGCCTAGCTTTGTCCACTTACTTTTATTGCTTTCATAACTTAATTGTTTAGTTTCAAAATTTGTCACCAAAATGTAATGTGGACAGAAGATTCTACTCCTTTCTTACATGTTTCTCTTTCTGATCACTGTGTGATAGATTGACACGTGTAATGGGTACTACTGTGATAACTTCAGAGCCAACACGAAGTACAAGCCCAAAATGTGGACAGAGAACTGGAGTGGATGGTAACTCATGCAAATGATACTTTATAGATGACAAGCTATTTATCTTAATCATATATTTAATCTAAATCTCTTGTTTAGGTATACTGAGTTTGGTGGTGCAGTCCCACGTAGACCAGTGGAAGACCAGGCATTCTCAGTTGCAAGATTCATACAGAATGGTGGTTCATTTGTTAATTACTATATGGTGGGTTGATTGTCACTCTGCTGCTAGTAATAATCTAATTCATGTGATTATGTTGCAAAAACTCTGACTTAAGTATACTATCTCATTTTTTCCTTATTCAGTATCATGGAGGAACAAACTTTGGCCGAACATCTAGTGGCCTCTTCATTACCACAAGCTATGACTATGATGCTCCTATTGATGAATATGGTATTCTTATGATGTTCAAATTGTATTCATGCTTGCCAATCATTGTCATTTGGTAATTAGGTGAAAAAAATAAACATCATTTGCTGCAAAAGTGCATGTATTCACTTCCAAAATCATAAGAAGCTTTGTTAATGAGAAGCTTTCTAAAAATATATCAGGACTTCTGAATGAACCAAAATGGGGTCATTTGAGAGATTTGCATAAAGCAATAAAGCTATGTGAGCCAGCTTTAGTGTCTGCAGATCCTACTGTGACAAGACTTGGAATGAACCTGGAGGTAAAATATTTCTGCTGATCAAAACTGACAAAGCTGCCTCATGTTTGGAAAGTTAATTTGTTATTTCTTCTTTAATATTCTCCCAGGCTCATGTGTTCAAGACAGAGTCTGGTGCTTGTGCTGCATTTCTTGCAAATTATGACACCAAGTCTGCTTCAAAAGCTACATTTGGAAATGGCCAATATGACTTGCCACCTTGGTCTATCAGCATTCTCCCTGACTGCAAAACTGAAGTTTTCAACACTGCAAGGGTAAGACAAGACTGATTTCCTAGTACAAAACTCATTATTTTTCTAATTTTGTTTCTTTGTGAAATGTGCGGCCAAAATTATGTATCCGGAGGTGAATAGGTCACTTACATATTTCTTACAGAAACTAGGCGGTTCCTTCCTTGAGTTGTTCCTGAAGGACAGACCCATTATATAAATACCTCTTTTTTTTTGGGGGGGGGGGGAAATCCTTTGTCATTGCCATATTGAGATGTTTTCTTGGGTGACACGTGTATGTCTGTTTGCCAATCTTGTGCAGGTTGGTTCCCAGAGCTCTGGGAGGGAGATGACACCCGTAGATGGTGAATTCACTTGGCAGTCATACATTGAAGAACCTGCATCATCCAGTGAAGATGATTCCTTTACAGAATATGCACTCTGGGAGCAGGTTAATGTCACCTGGGATTCCTCAGATTATTTGTGGTACATGACAGAGTGAGTATCTTTTAATTGATCAGTCTTTGCCTTCCAAAATCCAAATAATTTGAATATTGATCCTCTTACTACTTAAGTGCTATCTGCATCTAATCAATATTGATATCTTGGTCAGTGTCAATATTGATCCTGATGAAGCTTTTATAAAGAGTGGGGAATCTCCCTTTCTCACCGTAATGTCAGCAGGCCATGCTCTACATGTTTTCATTAATGGTCAACTTTCAGGTAATTAATTGGTATAAGGTGGTTTTTAATTAATATTTTGCTTTGATAAACTTTATCACTTAACCATCTCCTGTATCAATGTAGGGATTGTGTATGGGAGTTTAAAGAATCCTAAATTAACTTTTAGTGACAGTGTGAAGCTGAGTGTTGGCAATAACAAGATCTCTTTACTTAGTGTTGCCGTTGGTCTCCCGGTTGGCTCTCTCACTATTTTAATCTGTGTTTTCTTTTTTAGCTTTCAAGACTTATTCTAATTTTATATTCAAATAAATCCAGAATGTTGGCTTGCACTTCGAGACATGGAATGCTGGGGTGTTAGGCCCAGTCACACTGGCGGGTCTAAATGAGGGGACGAGGGATTTATCTCGACAAAAATGGTCTTACAAGGTCTGTCATCTGTGTGTGTGTGTGTGTGTGTGTGTATACACATGCAAATTTTCTACGGAAGCAACAGAAAAAATTTGCTATGTAACTATTGAAAAGTGTTGTTGATGAAATTTATCTCCGTGGGTAGCAAGAAAAAGTTTAAGCATTAACAATTCACATGCAGCTTTTTGTCATATTTTTTCAGTGGAAGTTGCAAGTTGCAACTGCAGAGAATTTAAGTTGTTGCATGTTGTTGAGCAGGTTGGTCTGAAAGGCGAAGCCTTAAGCCTTTATACTGAAAGTGGGAGTTCTTCTGTTGAATGGGCAAAGGGATCCTTGTTGGCTAAGAAACAACCTTTGACATGGTACAAGGTAAAATTTTCTGCTACAAAATGCTTCATGTCTTTTTCTGTCACCTGTGATCACCTACATCTACATTTATCCTGAGTTGCTTAATGCTGTGGTGTTATCAGACAACCTTTAGCACACCGGCAGGCAACGATCCGTTGGCTTTTGATATGAGTAGCATGGGAAAGGGTCAAGTCTGGGTGAATGGTCAGAGCATTGGGCGCCATTGGGCTGGATATATAGCACATGGCAGGTGTAATGATTGTGATTATGCCGGAAACTACACTGAATACAAATGTCAGACAAATTGTGGAGAACCCTCTCAGAGATGGTAAGCATGCACACAGCTTATTTGACAACAGTATATCGTCTAGCTTTCACTTCAAGTCTTTGACATTATATCAGAACTTCTGTGACCAAATGATCAACAGAAGCTTTTGTAATGGACATATTGGAGCTTGTGGGTTAAAAATGTAATCTATTGAGTTGAAATAGTCAGTCCTTGGGAATGATAACAACATTTTATCATCTTCTCAGGTATCATGTTCCTCGATCATGGCTGAACCCAAGTGATAACTTTTTGGTTGTGCTTGAAGAATGGGGAGGTGACCCTACTGGAATTTCTTTGGTGAAAAGATCCACAAAAACTGTTTGTGCTGATATTTCTGAAGGGCAACCAACGCTAAAGCATTGGCACATGTTAAAATCTGGAAAAATTCATACCCCTAAAGCTCATTTACGGTGTTCACCTGGGCAAAAGATCTCCCAGATTAAATTTGCTAGCTATGGACAGCCACAGGGTGTGTGTGGAAACTTTCTAGAGGGGAGCTGTCATGCCACCAGGTCATATGATGCTGCTAAAAGGGTAATCCAACTTTTCCTTTTTTATTTCCTTTTTGTTTCCTTCATCTTAATGAATAGCTCCATTCCAGCATTAAGTCATGGCAAACCATCGGAGAACTCTTTAAGGATGAGTTTGGTATGGAGATTCTTTCAAGCTTTCCAGGAAACTAGACTTTCAAAGTTAAGAATGCCATACTTTGTGTCCCTTGAAAAGGCAAAACAGGATAGATTTACTAGAAATCCTTACAAAGGAAAAGAAAGTAATCAGACTGTCAAGTCTTGAGTAGCATAAAGAGGTTTGTTTTAGTGTTGTGTTGTGTAGTCTGTGGTTCCAGGTACAACAGAGGTCTGGTGCATTAATATTGAAGTGTTGCAGAGTCATGACAGTGAAAACGCTGAGAGGTTGACTTATTTGGGAGGTTTTTGAGAGCTTCTTTGGTTATATTTGTGGACCTTAGTGCATGGATGTAGGGAGTTTGCCAAACAATGATATTTCTCTTGACCATTAATATTTTGACTAAAATTTTTCTGTAAGATACTTTAATAAAATTTCAAGTGTGGATATTTTTTCCAACTCAAAAGCACATCATTGACTCCATCAGGAAGAGAACTCTGGCTCATAATAATCCAAGAACTTCACACAGAAAACTTTTTTAAAAAAAAAAAAATTGGCCTCAGAAACAGATAATACTTAAATTACTGTATCTAGGTTTTGAGGAAGAAATTTTCCTGATATTATAATATTTCACTTTCTCATCGACGTCATCTTGGCCTTTTTGTGCAGAACTGCATTGGCAAGCAATCTTGCTTCGTAACTGTTGCTCCTGAAGTTTTTGGAGGAGACCCATGTCCGGGAAATGCAAAGAAGTTCTCAATTGAGGCCTTGTGCAGCTCATCCTCCAATGCACCATTTTAGCAGTAAAAGAGAGAGCTTTGAAGTCCAATACAATAATACTCCATGGCTTCTATTACTTGATACATATACACGCACCACCTGACCAAAGGCACCTACATAAGGCAAATTTGGTTGTAAAGATGCTCTGTGCACAGGCACAGGCAATATATTTATTCTGCTTAATTAAATATATTTCTCCATATGCTACTTGGCTTGTAACAATAAAGAACTCTGCTTTACACATTGCTGTGATTGCTATGTAACATGCAGAATTGTTATGTATGAACATTTTGAAATGAAAGTAATGAAGTGTTGCTTCCTTTCAACTGGTGCCTGAGATACTGTATGGATTAAGTGTAATCTGTGTGTTTTCAATTCAATCCTGCCAGGAAAGTTTCTATTGTCCATTTTGATGTCTTATGTCATTGCACTATGTTATCTATACATAGTGAAATGTCATCGTTTTGCAGGCTAAATTAGATGATGTGTCATCTTTCAAGGATTGAACTGAAAATCTATGGGCTGCATTGAAGCCAAATCTTTTGCATGCCAGGGGGGGGGGGGCGCGAAAAAAGAGTTTTGTATAAACAATTTGGCAGTGACAAGGCGTTGCTACCAAGAGTAGCATATGAAAATAGTGTATTGAGTCACAATATACTTTGTGTTCTCGTTTCCATTTTATCGAAATGATTTTAATAATTCATTTTGATATATAGTCTATATGATGTCACATCATCTGTTTATATCAAAATGAATACATATTATGTATATGATGTCAAATGACATAATGCGACAGACAAATAATTCAAAAAGAAATAGTAGGGATCTTTATTGTTGAATTGAAAATCTACGGACTGTAATGAAATTCAATCCTTTAAAAAAATGATATGAGGATTGAGAAACATTCTTTCAGTTCTTTATTAGTAACTTTTTTTTTTGTTTATTTGTTAATTTGTTCTTTGATGGGCAGTCGTTTAAAGGGAAAGAAAATTTAACTTTTCTCCCCCAAACTAAATATAACAAATCCACATAAATCAATAGTTACTGCAAATTTATAATTATAATGCAGTTCTAAAGAATGTGTTGCATTGACTTCAATCTTAGATCCATGGCACTTAAAAATTCTCATGTCTAGTCCAATGATTATAAAGCTATTATAGAAAAGATATAACTTATAAGTAATTAGCGATAAAAAAATTAAAGGGAAGTATTTACCAACACATAAATAAATAAAGAGGAATTATAACCCATATTTTTTTAATATTTGTTTGAAAATTTTCAATCTGTTCCCAATTCTTAGCTGATTATATTTTTAAAAAATTAATTCTTGAGAGCATTTTACTACTTTTTCCTAGGACGTCAGAGAGGGCGGTCATATTTCTTCCTACTAGGACTAACACCTGACATTGTTTTTATTCTTTTAATATCATATATTTCAAAAAGGTCTTTTCTGGCCACTTTTTAATAGGATTTAAATGTTAAAAACCTTTTTTGAAAAAATTCCAATAGGGGGAAAATCTAATTTTACTAAGTAACTAACCATGTATTTTTGAACCTTGGTTGATTTTTGTAAGCAAAACCTTGTGTTGTGAAGACCACAATAGAAAGTGAACGAAGTTATATTAGGGAAAGAATTGCATAGTAATCAAAATGGTTCAATCTCTCCATGGAAACAACAAAATTGTATATGGAGATACAAATATAGTGTGGACGTGCCCTTAAATTTTTTAGGAATAAAAAAATTTTGTTCCTTAATTTTTTTGGTTATTAATTTGATTTTTAAAATTTATTTTCTTATCAATCAAGCCCTAAAATTTGATAACCACAGCTATTTGGTTTTGAAATCACAAGAATTAATTTTATATGATTATAAAACTTTAAGGATTTGATTGATAAAAATTAAACTTTAAAGATTAAATTAATAATTGAGGAAAGCTTAAGAGACCAAATATTTTATTATTCCTTATTTTTATTATAATAGTATTTTATTACTATAACAGAAAATTTACAATCAGATAATGTAAAACATATCCTAAATCATTTATTAGGTAAAGACATTGACCTCAGACAAAATTTTTGGTGAAAAATCATCCAAATGGATTAAAAGTTCTATACATTTGGAGTGAATGTTATTCCCAAATGGATGAAACCAAACCTTATATTTAATTCATTTTCAGGTTCATCAATGAAAGCAAACATAAGATCTAAGAGATGTGACAGTTAAATTTGGAGTATATGCCCTTGCTGCCACAATTTTTTTTTTCAAAAAAGAAAAAAGTTTTTCTCTATTTTTTTAATCTCCATGATGATCAATAAGTATTAACATAAAATCTTATTGAAAAATTGGAGATTGATTGCATCTTTTTCCTATGACCCAGGATTTGGATGTGGAGGGTCCATCTTTTATTTTAAATTTTCATTTTTAATTTATAATGAATTTTTATTTTATTTTATTTTATTTCCCTATTTTTGAAGATAAAAAATCTCATTTGCTAAGAACTTGATAATTTGGGAGCATGAAATCTGGACCACTATTTATATGCAAAATATCATCAGTACCACCTATTGTTCCAATATCAACAGCGATAAAAATAAAAAATAAAAAATTCAAGCCCTCTTAATATCACTGAGAGAAAAAATATTTTTATTTATAGAACTTTAATCTATTTTGAAAATGATAAATTTTCTTATATGTAATTTTTTTAAAAAAATCAACTTTATCTTTTTTATTATTATTACTACCTTTGATCCTATTTATAAAAAATATTAAAATTTAAATTAATTTATTTAATATACATAGGCTTGAAGGGATCGTTAGAGAAAATTCTTCTTAACAATTGATCTTGTAGAATTTGAAAGCTAATTATTAATCCAGTTAATAAACCATTAACTCTAAAATCTCACTTTCATTTTCTTGTTGAGAAATTTAAGATAAAAGAATTTTAAATGCATGATCTTAACATCTAAAGCTTAGTATAACAATTAGGGATTTCTTTATAATATCCATGCACCAAGCCTCAGGCATGCTGGATTGTGATCTATTTAATTACTCCTAAAAAAAAGATGACAAGAAATTAGAATAATTATGGATATGGTTATTGGTCTTTTTCCCTTAATTATAACATTTTTGTTAATATCACTGTTTCTCAGGACAACAATTTTAATAAGACTATTTTCCTCCAACCACTGCCAAAGGCGTGTCCCCCTAAAATGTTTTGCTATGCTAGCTTTGCTTCTAACATTATGACAGTGATTTCAAGCATATATTATTTTTGAGCATTATTCATTTTACAATTTGATTTGAGAGATGAAGCTTGCCTTAAAACAACAAATTAATTAATATGATATTATTATATATGAATATGATATAATTGGTGCATTTTCAATCCAATTTTGTCGGTAAAATTTCTATTCTCAATTTTGATTTATCACCTGATGATTTCAAAATGACATTATTCCATGTAGTATAGAATATATGATATGATATGACATAATAAGAAAAAATTCAAAAGAAATGGTGAAAATATTCTTGATAAGATTAGATAGTCCATAAATTTAAAATTCATAACTTTAGCATTAAGCAGAAAATTAATAAGAGCATGATGTTAAAAGTTTCAAGTTGATCTAAAAGAATATATGAAAAAGGAAAGCCTAAAAGCATCCTATTAGCCTAAAAGGCTAGAGAATTACAGCTTTAGATTCCATTAACTCTCATGCTTGCTTATTTTTTAAAATAAAGTTTAGATCCAACCTCCGAGTAATTAAAACTCCATAATAATATTAATAAATACTCTGTGATTTTGGACTCAAGGATTGATATGATCATTATAATAATCAAAGGGCTTATAATTTTTTTAAGGATCAAATTAAACAAAAAGAAGCACATGAGTTGATTATTGCGGTCCAAATTTGATTTGAACAATTCATTTTAAAAAAAAACTTTGTAGTTCCTTCCAATTCGAAAGAGATAAAATATAAAAGAAATTTCAGTTCCAAAAAATATAAAAATAATGTAATTTTTAACCATTAACTTTAGGGAGGATGATAATTAAATCCCCAACAAAAATTAAAGATAGTTAAGTTTTTGATAATTTTTTTTAAAATAAGTACTAAACAATTATAAATTTAAGAATTTTAATTATAAATAAAACATTCAAATTTGAAATAAAGTAACCCTCAGTTCACAATTGCTGGTAAAAAAAAAAAAAACCTTCAGTTAGAAATTAGAATTTATATTTGTAACTATCTAAATTAATATTTATCATTAATTTTTTTAAAAATTGTTAAGAACTTAATTGTCATAAATTTCCCCTTTTAATACTTTATTGTTGTTCTCCCTTAATTTTGTTTAAAAAATTATAATGAAAATGTATAATCTTTGTTAAAATAGATTAGGTATAGAATATTTAAGAAAAATAAGATTTAGGGGTTCATACTTTGCATGAAGTCAAAAATAAACCATGCTATTTATAACTTATAAATAATATGAATTTCAATACATTGTGAGTGTAGATAGATGCGCATATACATCAACCTTGCCCTTTTTTTTTTTTAAATAACTTTAGACTTCTTTTAAGAAAAAGAACGTTGAACAAACCACTTCATGGAGATGACTAAACTAGAGAAATTGGACATCTTTAGATTCCATTAATCTCAATACTATTTAAGTAAGGTGCTACTTGTTCGTCCTTTATTATTAAATAAAAGCTATAATAATCACCTTTCAAAGCAAAATCCACAATCCAAATCACCAATGTGATAACTTAATTTAATTGAACATGATTTCATCATCATCATCTTCTTCTTCTTCTTGATCTTGGCCATAGAGTCATCATAGTCATTGGCCCTTCCAATAGAATAATGATAAAAGATAGAAGCTAAATTATCATGTAGATAGAAAAAGAATAAATAGCTAGAGAGAGAGACCTCTTAATTAATCATGCAAATCATCAAAATTTTAATCTAAGATTTGCAAAAAAGGAAAAGCAATATTGAGAGATCATTATGTTAAAGAAGTTGGACACGTAAAGTTAAAGAAATGTTTGTCCAAAGTTGAATAACATGATAATGGGGACCATTGTTTTTTAGGAAGAGAATGATTAAAGTACATCCGACTGAATCAACATAAAGAGTGAATATATATATATATATATATATATCACCAATGGCTTTCATTAGTAAAAATATATATCATGAGTTCCTCAATAAAGACATCACTCGTGAGGGCTTACCTTTATAATCAATTGCTTGAAGGAGAAAGCTAATACATTATTTGTTATGGGATTTTCATTCTTGCATAGCTTCATTTGGTGAATCTGAATTTTTA